TATATATAATTTATTATTTGTATGATAATAACTATATATTAATAATTTTTAAAAATATGAATATTAACAAATTTTTTTGTAATTAGTTGAAATTTATTAAAAATTAAAAAATTTATGAATCTCATTTATTAGTTAATGAATTTATCACATAATTTAGAGATGAGACCAACTAAAAAAATTTATTTTTCATAAATTGTAATGAATAATGTAGATGGTGCAACGTTTCTCTCTTAAATTATAAGAATTGTGATAATAAAAAATAAATAAATAAGTGGTGAGGGTGTAACGTTTGTGATGTGAATTTTTGATGGAAATGGTGGTTAATAGGATGTGTATATATTTGGAGTTGAAGACAGGGAGGACTAGGAAGCACACCAAAATTAAACGAAAGCATTTCTATATATGCATGCATTATTTTTACAAATGGTGTGTTTGGTTTAAAGGAAAGGAGAGAAAGGCATTGAGATCAAAAAGGCATTTGGGATTCATTTTGAAATTTGCGTGGGGTGGGGTTTGTCTTCTGATCACCGGTGGCCATGGGTAAAGGTGACATTGAGGCTGGGTTCCCCGATGTACATAACGACGGCCTCTATCCATCCATGATAGAGTCTCCTCAACTACGATGGGGTTTCATCCGCAAAGTTTACGTCATTATTTCTATTCAGCTGCTTTTCACAGCTGCATTCGCCTCCATCTTCATCTTCATTTCACCCGTCAGGAATTTCGCCAAGTACAATCCTAATCGTTTCTTTGTTTTCTTTGGAGCCGCCATTGTTACAATCATAGGTACCTATATATATATAACCCTTCTTTTTTTAAAATAAATATATATATTTATCCTTCGGAGTTGGAAATTCTAATTCACATGTATCCTCGTACGTGCAGTTTTGTTTGTGTTGAGCAAATATTACAAAAAACATCCGGTCAATCTCTTCCTTCTTGGTCTCTATACCCTCGGCATGTCTGTTACAGTTGGATTCGCTTGTGCTTTTGTCGATGGTATGCATCGCTTTCTAATCTTTTTCTCTCTACAAATTCGAATCAATTAGTACACCATGAATATATAAATAACGTATACATAATCATAATGTTACTTACTTCATCATCACCTTTATTTTCTACATGTTTGTGATTTTCACATCTTAATATAAGATGTTATTAGAATTACATTATTATGTAGAATTTAGTAATTAAAATGTATATATATAATAGTGCTTTTTCTATTATCATCCTATTCTAGATTGTCATGTATGTATAGCAGCTATTGAAGAAGATGGTGGAATAGAAACTATGTATATATAAATTAATATCATCGTTACATGATGTTACTATGCTAGAGTTTTGTTTGGATTCACAATAATTAATCTGAGCTGTGTTGTCGGGCAACAGCAAAAATCGTCCTGGAGGCAGCATTTCTGACAGGTGTGGTGACTGCTAGCTTGACGCTCTACACATTCTGGGCTGTTAAAAGAGGCAGTGATTTCAGTTTCCTAGGACCATTCCTCTTTGCTTCCCTTATGGTCATGTTATTGTTCTCACTCATTCAAGTAATTAAACATTCCATCTCTACATATAACTTTCATTTGCTACATTTAATTTGATCTAAATAATAATGTGATGGGATGTTTATGTTTATGTACGATGGAACAGGTGTTTTTCCCTCTAGGACCAACCGGGCGAATGGTGATTGCAGGCATTGGTGCACTCATAATGTGTGGTTTCATCGTATACGACACCGATGACCTCATCAAAAGATTTTCCTATGATGACTACATCTGGGCTGCTATTGCCATATATGGCGACATCATCAACCTCTTCATCTATCTGCTTACAATTTTGAACGACCTTTAAGTGGAACGATTCATTTCACAACTTTTTTTTTATTATTTTAACAAATTAATTTGACAGTTATCAAGGGATGAATTTTGTATAATTTATCGCCTCAATATTGTTGAATTCCAATCTTCATAAAGATTATAGAATTTAAAAATTAATTATATGTTTTACCGTACCAATTTATTTAACATTTGTTGTACTAATCAAAAATAGCAAATATGTGTTATTTAATTATATCTACAAAAATAATTTAATAGTCATATTAATAAATTTATACATGGTAAAAAAATACGTCATTTTACTAAATTTAGTATTTAATATAATTTAATTAAGTCTCTCGATTCAATAGTGATAAAATTTATTTTAAGATGCAAAAGTTGATTTTTTTTTTTTAGGTTCGTTCCTGGAGTATCCACCGCCGACAGTATTGACTAATCTCCTCGCTACGTTGGAGGCACCTCAAAGGGTGGGATAGCTGGCCCCAAGATTTAACGCGGCTGCATACACAAGGCAGGATTCGAACCCCTGACCTTGCTTAAGCGTGGATCAACCCCTACCGCTGAACCACACGCTTGGGGTTAGATGCAAAAGTTGATTGGTGTTATTAAACTTGATTTTTATCGTTATTAAAATAATATTTAGTTAAAAAGGAAATTAAGTTTCGAGGACATAAATTAGTTATTGATTATTAATTTTAACAAATTACGTGAATTATTGTAACGTCCCAGCAACCCGCATGTGGATATTGTCCGCTTTGGCCGCAGCCCTCACGATTTTGCTTCTGGCAATGGCACGCATGCCACCCCAAAACGCGTCCACACAAGGAAGGTATCCACACTCATATATATGGCATGCTTCGTTCTCCTTCCTAACCGATGTGGGACTTCACAATCCACCCCCCTCAAGGGAGTCCAGCGCCCTCGCTGTAACACCCCAGCAACCCGCATGTGGATATTGTCCGCTTTGGCCGCAGCCCTCACGGTTTTGCTTCTGGCAATGGCACGCATGCCACCCCAAAACGCGTCCACACAAGGAAGGTATCCACACCCATATATATGGCATGCTTCGTTCTCCTTCCTAACCGATGTGGGACTTCACAATCCACCCCCCTCAAGGGAGTCCAGCGCCCTCGCTGGCACACCGG